GAGTTCTGCCTTGGGGAGCGGTCCCTTGTCACCCCTTGCCCAGCCCAGGCGACTCACAATGAGGGCAGTGACTGGGGGGCTTTTCTGAGCACCCTGCGAGCCGGGGGTCCCTCCCGAGCATCACCGGGCCTGTTAGAGATACCGGCCGGGGGCTGTGCTCATGGAGGGACGCGTCAAACTCACCCTGCTGGGAACCCGACAGGCTGAACTGGGTAAATCTGTTGGGAAATTTGGGGCTGAATCAAATCAACTGCCTGGAAAACCCGTGAGGGATGTGATACAACAGCAAAGAAATAATTCAGAGGCGTTGATTACCATAAATGAATGATTATGAAAGCAGGAGGTACAGCCCTGACCGGGGCTTTTGCACAGTCATTTTTGATGTGAGGGACCTTTAGCTACAGCCTGTGGGGAAGGTGACAGCAGGTGGGACTTCCCAGACACCATCCCCTCTGAAACCAGCCTGACTGGGCAGGGAACTACCAACAGACCCGGTGCTTGGGAGAGGAAAGGTTTGAAGCCCTCACCAGGCACAGCCCAGAGCGATCCCCAGGAGAAGTGCAGCCCAGAGCGGCGGCTGGAGGTCCCAACTCCTGCTTGCCCCCACCTCCCTCCCCAAATACAGGCCATTGGGCGTGTGAGCCCACACCATTGTCACCAGGTCTCCATCAGCCACCATCATCTCCACTATCATCTCACCCCCACCGTCATCTCGTCTCCATTGTCATCTCCATCATCATGTCCCCAAATACAGGCCATTGGGCGTGTGAGCCCACACCATTGTCACCAGGTCTCCATCAGCCACCATCATCTCCACTATCATCTCACCCCCACCGTCATCTCGTCTCCATCATCATCTCCACCATCATCTCAGCTCCACCATCATCTCACCCCCAGTCATCTCCACCATCATCTCACCTCCACCGTCATGTTGTCTCCATCATATCCCACCTCCACCATCATCTCGTCTCCACCATCATCACCATTGTCTCCACCATCACCTCCACCATCAGCCATCAACTACCTCTCAGCCGGACTTGGCAAAGGGAAAGATGTGTAATTATAGATCCACATGTGTAATTATAGATTCAGATGCACCTTCATTAGAGCTACCTGCCAGATATAAACAGCCCCCACCAGGGCAGGTCTCCTGTTTCCTTCACTGACTTCAGCCTCCCCTGACCCCTCCCAAACCACCCGAGCAGCCAGAGCTTTTGGTTTCAAAACCAAACCATTGAATATAGACCAGGATGGCAGCAAACCCCACCGTGGCGTGTGATTATCCCGTTATTTCGGTGAGATGCACTTCCCCTGCTTCCCTGGGCACTGCTGCTCTGCTCCGGGGCTCGCCGAAAGCGGATTTATCAGCCTCGGGTCTGGGGGCTGCTGTGCCACCCTGCCCACCCGCCCTCAGGGGACCTCTCTGCTCCCACCTCCGAATTAATACGATTTACCTAAATGCCAGCAAAACCTGTCATAGGATTTACAAATGAAGCTTTTTGTAGAACAAAAAAAATGCAAAATAACGATCATCCCCACTTGCCTGAGCGCAGCTGGGGAGGGGCGATCCTGCCGGTCCCAGGCTGCTGTGCCACCCTGCCCACCCGCCCTCAGGGGACCTCTCTGCTCCCACCTCCGAATTAATACGATTTACCTAAATGCCAGCAAAACCTGTCATAGGATTTACAAATGAAGCTTTTTGTAGAACAAAAAAAATGCAAAATAACGATCATCCCCACTTGCCTGAGCGCAGCTGGGGAGGGGCGATCCTGCCGGTCCCACTGCTGCCGGTGGCTCCTGGGTGCGGATGCAGCGTTCCTGGGTGCCCTGTGATCCGCCTCTTTGGAGATAAACTTATAATTTGAGAAAACAGAAAAAAACAGCTTTGGAGGAAGGAGAGGTTATTCCTGCCCCTTTATTCTGCTCTTTCGAGATACAAGATGAATTAATTCATGGAAATGTTCCCACGGCCGGCCCGGCACGGGGCAGAGCTGCCGTGACACCAGCCCCTTCCCAGGGACCTCCCCACATTCCTGGCTGGTGAGGGGGGACACGGTGAAAACCTCGGCTCTCCCAGGCTGGGGCGAGCTCGCGGTTGTGCTTCAAGGGAATTTGGTGTCATTGGGATGGTGGTCAGCCCGCTTTTGCGGCTTTCCCGGGAGCAAGTGTCCGCAGCTTGGGAAAGGCCGTGCACGGAGCATCCCCCAGGACAGAGCCTGCTGTGGGGTCACACGGGCCACGGGCTGTCACCGCGTGCTGCGGGTTTTCGGCAGATAACTGATGTGAATTTGCATAGGCGGCAGCCCTGCGCTGACAGGAAGGAAGATCGAGCGAGACCCGCGGTTCAGGAAGGGGCGAGGAGCAAACAGAACGAGAGGAAAAGCCGCAGGGAGGCTGGACCCACCTTCCCCAGGTGCTGCCCGGAGCATCGCCCCGGCCACCGGGTCCCATCACCCCTGCGGGTCCCCCAGGGACTGCCAACCGGAGGGGCGTCCATTCCCTACCTTGAACTTGAGCATCCAGGCGAGGAGGAGGAGGAGGAGGAGGAACGGGAGGGGACAACGGGCTGAGCCTGAGCGGGGACACGGAGGGGTTCATCCTCCCACCACGACGGGGATGACCTCCCTGCTCTCCCGCTCCCCCGCAGAGCTGGGGCAGGCGGCACGAGGCCGAGGTAAGGGTTTGGGGGGGTTGGGGTACAGGGACAAGGGGGGTGTCGCTCAGCCCTCCCGCATGGGGATGAGCTGCTGCAGCCCTCGTGCTGCCGTGGCCCCGTGAAACGGAGTGGCTGGGCCAGCACGTGGTGGGGCCAGGAGAGGTCGGGGAGAGGTCCCTGGGATGGGCAAGATGTGACCAAGTGCCAGCAGCACATGGCAGAGCAGCCTGGTGGTCTGGTGCTGGCAAGAGGGGGTGCAGTGGTGCACGGCGCTGAGCCCCAAGTGTTGGAGACACGTGGGGGACCAGCACTTGTCACAAATTCTGTCCCCATGCCTGCTACCGCCTGCCCTTGTGCAGCATCAGCTTTTGTCCCCACATTAATGTCATTTACTGAATTAACTCCATTCCAAAACCACCCCAAAAAATCCCCAACACACACCACAAACAGGAAAGGATGAGATGAGCCACATACCCACCTGTGGTGTGCTGCAAAACGGCACCAAAGAGCCAGGCAGGACGCTGGGTCCTGGTGACAGTCCAAGACTGACGGACCTTGAAACCCAGAGCTGCACCCCCACGGCCCCCCTCGGGAACGGGGCTCAGGACCCCATCCCGGAGCCCGCCAGGAGGGAACAGCAACACCCAGGTCTCCAAAGCTGCAGCTGGTGCCTTCTTCGGCCCTTTTCACTGGGGGTTCCCCCAGCGCTGTGTGGGATCCAGAGGTGGGGAGCGG